GTGGTTATGAAACTAGAGCAGATCTCCTATTTCTTGAGATGGTCGATTTTGAAATTATTCTGGGCATGGACTGGTTATCTCCATATCATGTTATTCTAGATTATCATGCCAAGACTGTTACCTTGGCTATTCCAGCATTGCCTAAGCTGGAGTGGAAGGGTTCGCATGTTAGTTCATTTAATCGAGTTATTTCTTTTATAAAGGCTCAACACATGGTTGAGAAGGGTTGTTTGGCTTATCTAGCCTATGTTCGGGATACTACTGCAGAGACTCCGGCTATTGATTCAGTGCCTGTAGTTCGGGAGTTCCCCGATGTATTTCCGTCAGATCTTCCAGGTATTCCACCTGATCGTGATATTGATTTCTGTAATGACTTGGCTTCAGATACCCAGCCTATATCTATCCCACCGTATCATATGGCTCCGAAACAATTGAAAGAATTGAAAGAACAGCTTGAAGAGTTACTAGCCAAAGGGTTCGTCAGACTGAATGTATCGCTTTGGGGTGCACCAGTATTATTTGTGAAAACGAAGGATGGAACAATGCGGATGTGTATTTATTATCGCCAATTGAACAAAGTCACTATTAGGAACAAGTACCCGTTGTCGCGTATTGATGATCTATTTGACCAGTTACAAGGTGCTAGGGTATTCTCTAAGATCGACTTGAGGTCGGGGTACCATCAGTTGAAGATTCGGGATTCAGATGTTTCGAAGACTGCTTTTCGGACTAGATATGGTCATTATAAGTTTTTGGTGATGTCCTTCGGTTTAACTAATGCCCCGGCAGCTTTTATGGATCTGATGAACAGAGTATTCATGCCATATATTGATTTGTTTGTCATTGTCTTCATTGATGACATCTTAATCTATTCGCGCAGTAAGGAGGAACATGAGCAGCATATGAGAGTGGTGCTTCAGACATTACGGGAACAAAAGCTATATGCTAAGTTCTCTAAATGTGAGTTTTGGCTAGAGTCTGTAGCATTTTGGAACATATTGTATTGGGCGAAGGTATTAAAGTTAATTCCAAAAAGATTGAGGCAGTTCAGAATTGGCATCATCCCACTTCGGCGACTGAGATCAGGAGTTTTCTGGGTTTAGCAGGTTTTTATCGTCGGTTTGTGGAAGGTTTTTCATCTATTGCAGCACCTTTGACCAAATTAACCCAGAAGGGTGTTCAGTTTCGATGGTCCGATGATTGTGAGTCAAGCTTTCAGAAGCTCAAGACAGCACTGACTACAGCGCCTGTGTTAGTGTTACCATCTGGTTCGGGAATATATACAGTGTATTGCGATGCGTCACGCGTTGGCTTGGGTTGTGTATTGATGCAGGAAAGGCGAGTTATTGCATATGCTTCACGTCAGCTGAAGCCTCACGAGAAGAATTATCCAGTACATAATTTGGAGTTAGCTGCGATTGTTCACGCTCTAAAGATTTGGAGGCATTATCTTTATGAGGTGTCTTGTGAAGTTTACACTGATCATCGCAGTTTGCAGCATTTGTTCAAGCAGAGGGATCTAAATTTGAGGCAGCGCAGACGGCTGGAGTTACTAAAAGATTATGATATTACTATCTTGTATCATCCGGGCAAAGCAAATGTGGTTGCAGATGCCTTGAGCGGGAAAGGGGAGAGTATGTGTAGTTTGGCTTTCATTTCAGCAGAGGAAAGGCCATTAGCCTCAGATATTCAGTCCTTGGCTAACAGACTTGTGAGGCTGGATATTTCAGAGCCCAGCCGAGTTCTTGCATGTGTTGTGGCCCAATCTTCACTATTTGAGCAGATCAAGGCTCGCCAGTATGATGACCCACACCTGGTGGTTCTTCGTGAAACGGTACTACGAGGTGATGCCAAGGAAGTTACTATTAGAGCGGATGGTGTTCTGCGACTCCAGGATCGTCTATGTGTTCCTAATGTGGATGGACTGAGGAAAAAGATCCTGGAAGAGGCACACAGTTCTCGGTATTCTATTCATCCAGGTGCTACTAAGATGTATCGTGACTTGAGGCAACATTATTGGTGGCGACGAATGAAAAAGGACATAGTTGAGTATGTATCTAGGTGTCTAAATTTCCAGCAAGTTAAATATGAGCACCAGAGGCCAGGTGGCCTACTCCAGCAGATGACCATACCAGAGTGGAAATGGGAACGAATTACTATGGATTTTGTAGTTGGGTTGCCGCGGACCTTGAGGAAGTTTGATGCAGTTTGGGTGATTGTTGACAGGTTGACCAAGTCGGCACATTTTATTCCTGTTGTGACTACGTATACTTCAGAGAGGTTGGCCCAGATTTATATTCAGGAGATAGTTCGGTTGCACGGTGTGCCAATTTCCATCATATCAGATAGAGGCCCTCAGTTTACTTCACATTTCTGGAGAGCAGTACAGAGTGAGTTGGGGACCCGTGTAGAGCTCAGCACAGCCTTTCATCCACAGACCGATAGGCAGTCAGAGCGGACAATTCAGATTTTGGAGGATATGCTTAGGGCATGTGTGATCGACTTTGGAGGATAGTGGGATCGTTTCCTTCCTTTGGACGAGTTTGCTTATAATAACAGTTACCAATCCAGCATTGAGATGGCTCCATTTGAGGCTTTATATAGTCGGCGATGTCGTTCACCCATCGGATGGTTTGAGCCAGGTGAGGCTAAGTTATATGGTACCGATTTGGTAAGGGATGCCTTGGAAAAGGTAAAGTTGATTCAGGAGCGACTTCGTACAGCACAGTCCAGACAAAAGAGTTACG